AGCATGGATCATGGATTTCAGTGGGGTTTCTGGCTACAGCTCAGGCCACAGACACCAACATTTAACATCTTAAAGATATGGTGTTTGTGGTGGTTTGAAAGAAAATGGCCCCAAAGGGAGTGGCACTATTGGGAGGTGTGGCCTTGATGGAGGAGGTATGACACTGTGGGGGTGGGCTTCAAGATCTCCTTTGATCAGGCTTGGTGTGACACTCAGTTTACTTCCTGTTGCCTCCAGATCAAGATGTAGAACCCTCAGCTCCTTCTCCAGCACCATGTCTGCCTGCATGCCACCATGTTCCGCCATGATAATGGACTAAACCTCTAAAATCATAAGCTAACTCAATTAAATGTGTTCCTTTATAAGAGTTGTCATGGTCATGGTATCTCTTCACAGCAATAGAAACCCTAAGACAAGACATGTGAGATGAAGTTATGTAAATGAATGTATAGTGTTTAAGGCCCTCCTTTGACCTGATACCTCTTCTTCCATGAGACTGATAGAGGACAGTATGGGTACATAGAAGCATTTTTATATTCTGTATAATAAAGACACATTTCCATTCCATACTGTAAAAATGAGTCTGTATGTATATGTTGCTAATAATTTAACATGTACATGCTTGTTGCAGAATATTAGTTTAACTATGCAAAGATGTGTTGCATTTATTCGTATTCATCAAGCTGGACTCTGGTTCTCTGAAAGAGCAGCAAGTGCTCTTAACCATTAAACCACCTCTCCAGCTTCAAATGACTTCTAATGAATCAAGGACTTTCTTACAAGAGCATGGGTGACGGTTACTTACAGATGCATGAGTGAGCCCCCAAACAATTATAACACAGAAAAGTCTCACCCCTAGGTGATGATCTCCCAGAAGCTGTGTAGGTGAATCTTCCTTTTAACTTTCCACCTCTCCAGTACATTAGCACCTCCCAAAACACATGGAGTTGGACAGGTCCAGGTGCAGGTGGGGCAGTTGGGCAGGCCCAGGTGCAGCAGGTGGGGCAGTTGGGCAGGCCCAGGTGCAGCAGGTTGGGCAGGAGGGAGTAAATGGCTGTGAACTCATCTGAGAGCCAGGCACCCTGCCACCGCTCCTTCCCTGAGGGAACACCAACAGGCCAGTCTTTGAGGGTCTTTAGAGAGTGATCACCACTTCTCTGATTTTTAAGATCGTAATGGCCATGAAATTCCTAGACGACAGCAGTCCACCACACTTGGGTCTTCTTGTGGTTTCTAAACACACTGCATAGTGTAGGGAAGGTCAGATGACCTTTTTATTTAGTAAATGAGATTTTACTGGAAGTAGAGGGTGCCTTACTAATGGCTTATCACTTTAAAAGGAAAACAGATATAAATGCCTCTTAATTATCTTCAGCAGGGAGAGTGGAACTGCAAATTATTTGTGCTGACATTTTATCTCAGCTTTTGCACAGAGAACAGTATGTTTAACTGAAAATGAAGAAAATAGTCTAGTACAAAAGAGATTGAGATAAAATAATTATGAAGGAAAAATTAGGGCTTATCACTTAGGTCAATGTAAACCTAACATTCATTCTTCAGTTTACATTTTTGTTGGTCATGTCAGAGGAGCAGCAGGCAGCAATTGACTTCAGGGGATTGGTCTGCCAGAATGCAAGGCACTGATGGATGAATCTCAGATAGGCAAGGCCCCGAGAGCTTCGGCTCCAGAATGTCTCTTGCTACTGCTGTGCCTTTACATATTTGCTGCTGCCATCTTTCTCTGGTATCTGGCATGGTGTGAATGGGTTTGGAGGAATCTCCAGTGCCTTTAACATAGTGTGATTATATCATGGAAATATCCCATTCTACTGGGCATTTCTACCTGTGGGTTATCGTGAAGATGATTTCCTCTTAAATTGTACTGTTTAACCCTAATTGTTGTGCTAGAAACCTCATCCAACTACTGAGGGATCTGGATGCAGAGATCCATGACTAGGCCCTGGGTGGATCTCTGCGAGTCCAATTAGCGAGAATGAGGAAGGTTTATATGAGCGAGAATTGTTGAGACCAAGGTTGGATAAAGCACAGGGACAAATAGCCAAATGAATGGAAACACATGAACTATGAACCAATGGCTGAGGGGTCCCCACTGGATCAGGCCCTCCGAATGGGTGAGACAGTTGATTGGCTTGATCTGTTTGGGAGGCATCCAGGCAGTGGGACCAGATCTTGTGCTCATTGCATGAGTTGGCTGTTTGAAACCTGGGGCCTATGCAGGATTGTTTGGCTCGGCCTGGGAGGAGGGGACTAGACCTACCTGGACTGAGTCTACCAGGTTGACCTCAGTCTGTGGGGAAGGCTTTGCCCTGGAGGAGATGGGAATGGGGGGGGGGGGGGTTGGGGGGAAGGTGAGGGGGACAGGAGGGGGGAGAACAAGGGAATCCGTGGCTGATATGTAGAACTGAATTGTATTGCAAAATAAATTAAAATAAATTAAAAAAAATAAAAAAAATTGTACTGTTTAATTAAAGTAATAATTTTATACGATAGTAGTGTTAGTTTAAATAGAATTTTGATGATTAAGAGTTTTTAACAAATACAGTAAGGGATTATAATAGAGGTTAGTTTAGTGGGAAAATTAATACAGATAAAGGTGGCATAGAGTGTTGCCCCACACACTCCTGATAAAGCAGGGGCTGCAGAGGATAGAAAATAAGAACAAAGAAGTGTCTCCAAGTTAGGACTTAGGAGTTGCTCTTGAGGAGCCATACAGACCATGGCTTAAGTTAATGATTAAGGAAAACAATCAAGTCCTAGGAATTAGCTCAAGTTCTTTTTGATATTGGAAAATGTGTTCACAGGTTTCAGTGTACATCACAGCTAAAACGAAGCTTTAAACAATTGACTTCATGTAACTAAAAAACAAATTGGATGGTTAGTTAATTGGACTGGACTTTAAATATGAAAAGTGAAACTAATAACCTGTTTTTCTGGCAATTATGAAAACTACTGCCTATGTAAATGGTTATGGCTTAAAGGTTCCTGATTTGTGAGAAGTCTAAAAGATAAATGTTTAACTGTATGTAGGTTCTTGGGGATAATTTGTTTTCCACTTGTAATACATAATATGTTTAATCATGTAAGGAATATGGAAAACATGGGTTTTTTTTTTTACTTGTATTCAATTGTAATCATTCACTTAAAAAATAGAATGTAACCACATTGTAATTTTTATATTGTTTGAAAGACTCTGCTGGGGTATATAAGCTGTAAGGGAAAAAATATAGAAGTCAGAAGGAAAACACCAGGAAAGATGTAGAAGGAAGACATCAGAAAGTACTTAGAAAGAAGTCATCAGGAAAGAGCAAGAAGGAAAACACCAGGGTAGAAGAACAACAGGAAAAGAATAGAGTATAACAAGCAACAGAAAGAGTAAAACCGAAGAGAAATTTTTATTCCTCAGAAAAAGAAGTCTATGTGTTTTTTCTTGCCAACTCTGCATTTCATTCTTAGTCCCTCTGACCTGCAGAAGGCTAGAACCCTCTACACATTAAACTCTAATATACATTTGAACCATGTGAGTATCTTTTCAAAATATAGAATTACTAAGAGGTTGATATTACAGAGTCCAACCACCATTCTGCTCCATCCTCACTGTCTGGTCACTGTTCCTACACCACTTAAGTCAAATTCAAATGGAACGAATTGAAGCAAAGGTAAAGGAAAGATGTAAGTAATGTGGATCCAACAGGGCCAGTCAGTCACTGACTGGTGTCTTCTCTGTGTATAGTGGCCAGGGAGGACCAGGCAGAAACAGTGTCTTCTGGACGTGACAGGAGTGTTGTACTTACTCATGGACTCTCAGCAGCTCCATAAAACCTGTACAACATCAAATCAGTTAGCATTCCAGCACTGAGACAGGAGGGGTTCTGGAACCTCCACCCCTAACTGAGGAACTATTGACCAATGATCATTTCTGGGGGAGAAAACATCAGGTTTTAAGGGTGTGGCATCTGGAATGTCAATCAAGTTCCAGTAGAAGGCTCCACACCTTAGTATATGAGCAGCACTAATTAGACTTACTAGTTTTTTAAGGACAAAGTTGGGAAGCCATAAGGAAATTGGAGGGTGGATCTTGGAGGAGATAAGAAGAATAGGGTACTGAATATGATCAAAATACATTGTATACATATATGAAATTCTCAAAAAGTAAAATATTATAGTAAAAAACTTTCAAGAAAATAACTATGAGCATTGTACTTAAAATGATGCACACTAGTCCTTCATAAATTAGAAACAGCATTAATGGAAAATTTTTATTCATTAATCAGATTTAATAAGCTAAAAGCAGGGACAGCTTTTAAAAATGAGAATATATGAAGGTAGCACACCATTTTACTGCAAATTAGTCACTTTTTAAAAAAAATGGATGAGAGAAGACATCAAACTGTGTGCACTCTGGAGAAATGGAAAGGTGACAACTTCTGATCCACGAAGCTAGATACTTTAACAGGCTGAAGCTTCCTGGTTCTAGAGCCCTGGGGCTCTTCATGTGATGTTGACAAGCTGAAGAGATAGAATAGGATGTCATCAGAGGACAATGGTGACAACTATAATTATGTGTTCAGGAGGAAGGACATCCAGGTGATGCTACTTCTTCCTTGGACCACCAATTGGTGGGTGTCAACATAGGTACCACCCACTTTGAGGATGAGTCCCACTCCACTCAGTTAATCTTCCCTGGAAACACCCTACTAGAAATACTCAGAGGCATGTCTCCTAGACCCCAGTCTTCAAGTAAGACCAACTATCACAAGACTTAAGAAGGACACCTCTAATTCCTATAGAATCTCTGACTAGTAACAGACTAGCAAGTTTTTAAAAACTAACAGTTTTAACAAACTCAGGAAGGCCTGATCTAGAAGCTGTTTAAGGACAATGTGTCTTTAGTCAAATGGGACCGGTCCTTAGCTGTTTCCTTGGCATATTTTAAGTCCTACCTGACAAAGCTGTAAAATATTAGTTTGGTGTCTCCTTACTTTGGTGGGACTGCAGGAGCAGGTTGCTCATTTCTGGGCATTGTCATATCTACTTCCCATGCAGGAGGATTGCCAGTGAAATCTCCTTTACTTTCAGCTTCACAGAACAGAGGATACCGACTAAAGGCAGGGGGAGAAGAAAGAGAAATATCATATAGGGGGCTGAAGATCTAGTCAGACCTTAGAGTTTAGAAGGCTGCACTCAAGGCCAAACTCCAGTGACTAGTAGATGCACTGATTCAAGTGAATCACTTACAACAATGTTAGCTTATGGTACATGATTTTAAAATCTTAGTTGTAGTGGGTAATGGCTCACAGAAACTCACTACTGGTCAAGTGCAGAAAACAAGCATCAGTAGAGTGTTCAGCCACAAACAAGTCATTTATATCACCATCATACACACATTTACACACATGTATACACACACACACTCAATACTATAAAGAAAGAGGGTGTGGGAAGATAGTAAGAGCCAAAGGTCAGAGAGGACCAGACAGACAGAATGTCTCTAAAAATAACAGGACCTCTGCACTCATGAGCTCACAGTACCTGTGGTTAACTTAACAAGACCTGCATAAGAGGAGCCATGGACAGTCGATGGCATGGGGGGGGGGGGGGGAGGCAGAATCAGGTGTTTTTAATGGTTTGACTCCTGGGAGGTCAATCATACTCCAGTGGATGACCCCCACACCCATGAGTATATGAACAGCACAAATTGGAGTCAATGAGTTTTGTGTGTTTTTTTTTTATTTTAAAAAGAACATAATGTTAGGGAATAGGTAGAGAGGTGGAAAGAGATAGGGTAGAAGTGGGGATGGATATTATACAAATACAGTATATGCAATTATCTAGGAATTAAAATATTGCATTAAAAAGGTTAGCTGCTCCAGGACAGACAAGGTGGTTACACAGAGAAACCCTGTCTTGAGAAACAAACAAACAAAATTAGCTGCTATGGCAGATATTACTCTTTGTGTGGAGGACGTGAAGGATGGCTTCAGTAATTACTTGAAGGGAAAATGGTCTCAAAGTAAAAATAATGAATGTGTTCTCTCATATGTGGATCCTGAATCATACACATAGGACATGAGTGTAGAAGTATTATTTGGGTAAAGAAATGGCATTAGCAGAAAGGAGGAAATGGGCGTAATGGGGAGAATATGGTCAAAGTACATGAGACACTTGAACTTACATATATTTATGAGCCCCTTGACTATGTGCAATGAATATAGGCTAATTATAATAAAGTGAGGCAATGGGAGTGAGGTTTCAAACATGATGAGGAAGACCGGCCATTAAAAACATAATATCCCAACTTTATGACACATTTATGTGCAAAACCATTTTAAAAGCAAACACGTTTTAAATTCCTTTTAAGATGTTCATTAAGCTGGGCGGTGGTGGCACACGCCTTTAATCCCAGCACTCGGGAGGCAGAGCCAGGCGGATCTCTGTGAGTTCAAGGCCAGCCTGGCCTACCAAGTGAGTTCCAGGAAAGGCGCAAAGCTACACAGAGAAACCCTGTCTCGAAAAACCAAAAAAAAAAAAAAAAAGATGTTCATTAAACGATTTTAACCAGAAAAATCTAATAGATTGCCCCCTAAAACCTGCCAAGTTTATCATAACCTTGCAAAAATTGGATCAGAGTTGCTAGTGACCTATACATTAGACTTTCTTAAATGGATTAACTAATAAGATATAAAAGGAAGCTGAATCTCACCCCAAGGGTCAGCTTTAAATCTGCCGCCTCTCCTTATGGCTTCAGCCCCACCCACCCATGCTGCATGCTGCCCTTGATTTTTCTGATATATTTCTGTATCTTTCAGGCTTTTTTTTTTCTGTCCTCAGTAAACTTGAATATGGACTTATTTTTAAAGTAGTCTAGCTTGATTAGCTGGGTGAGACCTGTGAGGTTTTCAGCCATTCTGACACTAGTATTAGCAAAGTGGATTAATATCCTTCTCTTCTCCAGCATTCTAAAGCTCTAGGAGACAATTGTAATTTTGAAGACTCAGGGCCAAGGATAAAGAGATTTACATTCCCTTTAGACGTTGGATTCCACCACCACCACACCAACCCACACTCTGGGTTGTATGATTTAACATTTAGGGCTTGGGTCTTTTATCAAGAGGGTCGAGGTGAAGCTGGGGCCTTGGACAGGTGCCCCACCTGTGATACTCACCTGTGCATAACACACGACAGATGCATCTCAGCTCGTGTAGTAGAGTTTTTTGAGATATATGTAAGTTTAGTCTGAAGCAGAGTGACATCACAAAGAACCTACAGAGGCAAAGAAAAATTTAAAATCTATGTTTATCTCACAGATCTCAGGAGACTTCAAGGGATTTGAATAAGAGCTTATAGGTACTTCAAGTTCTCTAAAAGAAACAGCCATTTCCCTAAATAATTACTCATGAGAAGAAGAACCATCTTCTAAATGAAGAGATAGGTTCAATCTGGTACATTATTTGGATGTAAAAGTCAGATAATACTTGTTTATTGAAAGAGATCAGCTCTTCAGTTCATCATATTTTTTAAAATCACATGTTTACAGAAACACAATAGAAGGTAACATGTGCTTATTTTGGAGAACATCAGCTTTCAGATCAGCTGAAACCCATCTGGAATTCAGACTTCTGAGACTCATTTAAATGATTAACTCTGGACTCTTGCTTTGAGACTGGGTCTCATATAGTCTAAGTTTGTCCTCTGAGAGAGAAAGAAGAAACCACTGTGATGAAGTTCTAGTTCTAATCAGTTATCTGGCTGAATTGCAAACAGCCTGCAGGATCACCCACAGTTGTCTGAGTTCACCACAGCCCAGCTCCTTTCACACAATAATCATTCTCCCAAGGACACTTAACAAACATCCTGTATCCTGCATGCACAGCTCCATCTAAAATATTCTTCCTGTGTCACCAGATCTGTCATTCATCTCAACCTGTCAAAGTTGTGCAATGTCTCATAATAAGTAATGTTACGGCAAAGTTTCTGATTTTTTTTTAATCAACTCAAAATCCCAGTTAATGTTAGACAGCAATGAATAACTAACCTGTCGATGCTCCCAGTAGGGAACTCTGAGGACCTTTGTGATGTTTAACCAATGTTACTCTCTTTCACCTAAGCCTAGCCAAATGTCAAGGACTGTAATGTGCCAACTAGTTTGGGATACTACTTTGTGATGTTCAGAAAACAGGTCTCTTCCCATCAGCAAGTTAACATCATATTTCCTGGATGTGACTTTTAAAGACATGAACCCAGCTATATGACAAATAGAAACAATGATTTCCATTTTGTGGGTCCAAGGAAGGGTCCATATACACTAGCATTTCTTACTTTATTGACAATGCCGCAGGAGTAAGTACGGTAGGTAAAGTCATAGACATCGTTTGGCCAGACGGTGTTCACGGGACAGCCAAATCCTAAAAACACTTCATCAGGTTCCATAAAAATATTGGGGAATAGCGTGGCCTTAACCCTGAGATAGAACCAATGATTGGTGCACTGTAGACGATAGGCTAAGAAGTAGAAAAGAGAATATTTCTGTTAACAGGCTGTATGGGAATCATCACAGAACATCTGAGCAGAGCTACTTAATGCAAGAGTTCATCCCTTAACAGAATAAAACATGTTGTAGAGAGAAGCAAGTCTGTCAAATATAATCATCTGCTATTAATTCATCCCTAATATACTCACATACACTCCTATCTACTAAAGATATTTTTAATAAGTCTGTCAGGGGGAAGAGCAATACAAATTTAAAATATTTTTAATCCTTTAATTCCATTCTCAGAAGTCAATATTTTTCTTAGGGCAAGTCTCACTACGTAGCTCTGAATGACCTGGAACTCTCAATGTAGACCAGGCTGGCCTTGAACTCACAGAGCTCCACCTGTCTCTGACCCCCAAGTGCTGAAAATAAAGGTGTGCAAAACCATGCCCGGTCTCAAAGCCAGCATTTTGTACAGCTGGGACACAAGAACACATTTCTAGTGTAACACTCCGTGAAGTGCAAAGCATGGCTGCTCTCGTGATCAACTCATGCTCCTCCACACTAGTCCTTGTTTTCATTTCTAAATCCACAGTCTCGTGGTATATATAAGCAAACATGGAGGGTTGATATAGCAATAAACACTAGTCAGGAACACCACAACCAACTTGTTATGCCATGTTTGGTGGATATCCCTGGGAGGCCTGCTCTTTTTTTTCAAAGGGAAATGGAGGAGGAATGGATCTTGCTTAGAGCAGTCTCCTTTAAGTAGCTCCAAATAACAAGAAATAAAATACATTAAACAACACACTAAGAGTCTTGCAACTTCCCTAGCATCAAGACTAGGTTATCTTGTTGAAAGTAATTTGACAAAAATACTTAACTTTTTGTTGTAATTCTAAACTTTCAAACTAAGAGTTTGCACTCATATTTAAGTGACCAACCACTCAAGTTTGCTTACAGTAGACTTGTTGGCACTCAAACTGAGGAAACGGGATCAGTTAGTCATCTTACCAGAAGGAGCTGGCCTTCCCTCTCAGATACTGTGGCTCTATAGAGGATAAGGCCAAGAAAGAATACTGAACCCTTGAAAAGGCTCCTTTCCAACATGCCACAAGATGTCCTGAGATTATTTATTTATTTATTTATTTAGGTATTTATTGGTTTTTCGACACAGGGTTTCTCTGTGTAGCCCTGGCTGTCCTAAAACTTGGTCTGTAGACCAAGCTGGCCTTGAACTCAGAAATAAAGGCATGCACCACCATGTCCAGTGAGTACCAAGTTCTTAACAGCCCATGAATACCTCTGTGCTTTCCAGGCCACTCCACGTTCCTCAGAGCTAACTCACCTCAAGCACCGAATCCCCAGAATGTGATGTGATCTGGGAAAGGTCAAAAGAAAAGGGGAACTGGAGAAAGAAGGAACTCAAGTTAGGACAGTGTCTAGTCTCAGTAGAATTGTGAGATTCTAAGATCATGCATCTGAAAGAGACCAATCTCTATGAAACAGTCTAAAAGCCCCACCCCTCAGCACATGTTAAGACATCCCAATTCTTCAAGTCATGTGTGATACCTGCCCAATCATCAGTCCAAGTTCTCATAAAGAAAAGAAGCAGAAGGAGCCACCGCAGACCCAGGAAAGACTTCATTGCTCAGATTGGAGATCAAACCCCACAGAAGAACTGAAAGACAGAGAGTAAAAGGCCTTCTTATATGCTGGAATAGATGACCCTCAGTTGGGAGTAATTAACTAGTGCCTTTTACAGCACACATGTGCCACTAATACACCCTCAGTTCATCATTAAAATGTAACACTTTATTTACAATTTACTCTCAGTCATGACTGCTGAGAGATGAAACTTCTGCAGGTGGTCCAGAAAAAATTAGAAGGCTGACTTGCATTGGAATCTGTACCATTATGTATAGAGTGATTTTATACACTAAGGTATGCTTTGTTAAAAACTCCCTGCCATCCCAAAATATCTGTGTCTCGTTATCTGAACACTATAGGAGTAACTGTATAAGAATATGATTGCCCTGTGTCACTCAGAATGCAAAGACTCAACACCTTGAGACCTCCTATACTTCCACGTCATCCCACCAATCCACCTCTGAGCAGTGGCCCTCAGATTCACCTGCAGAGTATTCTTTTTAATACATGATAACTGAATTACAGCCATTCTTTCTTTCTGATTCAGCAAGACTAGAGTGGGACAGGGAATTTACATTTCTAAGTTCCCAAACGACACCGATACTAATACCCTCAGAATTGATGGGGCACAGGGATTTGCCTTCAGAGCACACTGTCTTGATACTCATGAGAAGAGCTTGTTTGCAAACTTAAATATATACATCACCTGAGTACCTTGTCACAAAGCAGAAGCTATCGCAGAAGTGGGGGTCAGACCCAGAGATGGTGCAGTTGGGATAAACTCTCAAGTGATGCCAATGATTCTCTATGACTACACTTCAAGTAGCAAGGCCTGAAAGTAATTTACACGGAATTTAAATTCTTCTAAACAAAAGGCAACACTTCTTCAAAATGAGAAGTTAAAAATCTCACTATGAAAAAACAGCTTAAATGCATATTGAGAGCTGGGAATGTAGTTTAACGGTGGGAAACTTACCTGCCTTGTGTGGGCCTAGAAGTTGGATTCCCAGCACCCCAAAAACCCAGATTCAAGCTCACCCTGCTTTTGTAGATCATCAGTTACTTGAGTTCAGAACTACGTCCCATGATGATATAGCATGAAAGACAGAGCTACTGAAAGGCGAAGTGAGTAGAGGAATGTACTGGCTCATGACTGTATTCCCTGAAATGTATTATTGCACTAATGACCTGTCCTAATAGAGGGCTGGGGCTGTATCTGAATGGGTACACCTCCTGCCTAGCACACACAAAGCCCTTAGTTTGAACCTCAGCCCTTCGTAAATGAAGAGTGATTATGCATGGGCTACATGAGATGCTATCTCAAAACAAAATACACACACCAAAATAAATTTTTTAAAAAAAATACAAGGTCACTATGCTATGAACTCTTTAAGGCTCTACATTCCATGTATAGTTTCATCTCCAGAGCTTAGAAAATCTGTTGCAAAATGAGAGATTAAGATGTAACAGTAGAAAAAAATGTAACTACTTACTTACTACGTAACAATTTCTTTTTTATATAATTTAAATTATTCTTTATTAGTTTAGGTTTTTTCCTTTATTACAAAAAGGTGTCTTCAAATAGCCCTTCCACTACACAAATAAGAACCTGGGGGAAAGTACAGTTTTATTTTTTTTAATTAATTAATTAATTTTCCCCAGTCCTTTCCTTAATGTTGGGGAGTTAGCTCAGTGGTGGAGCACTTGCCTAGAAATCTCAAGGTCTTGGGTTCAGTCTCCAGCACTGGAAAAAAATAACTTCTCAAATATTTTCATCCCACTTGTAGTACAGCACATATTTCAACTTGAAGAGTTTTTGATACTTGCTGCCAAATAAATGAGCAAATCCCTCTCCTCCTGTAAGTTACAAGGTGTGGCCCGTGTGTGTGTGTGTGTGTGTGTGTGTGTGTGTGTGTGTGTGTGTGTGTGTGTGTGTGTGAACAAACGTTCAGTATGGAATACAATGAAATCAACTACAGTCTCCGTGCTGTATGTTACATATCTAGGTTTCATCATCTTAGATAAGTAAGTGTTTGCACCCTGGACCTATTTCTCTCCTTTTCTTATTACTGTTATTGTTTTCATTTCTTAATATAATAAAGATGTATTTAACCAATCTCTAATTTTCCTTCTGCTTAAATTTATATTACTTCTTAGTTTTTAAAAATTAGGGTATGAGGGCCTGGAGAGATGACTCAATAGTTAAGAGCACTAGTTGCTCTTCCAGAGGACCTGTGTTCAATTCCCAACCACATGGTGGCTCTCAACCATATTTAACTCCAAGAGACCCAACACTCTCTTATGACTTCCACAGACACCAGCCACAAACATAATATGCAGACATATATGCAGTCAAAATATATATATATATGATATATATACAATAATAAAATAGTATTTTTAAAATATATGTAGCTTTTGAAAAAAATCAGAGTATTTTTATTTTACTAAATGTACACAGTGTTAAACTGCCATTAAATGTTCATGTTTGTGCCCATAATTTAGCACTGCTCCCAGATTTCAGCAGAGAAGCTCTGTTTGCAGAATGCAATGGTCAATGCAGAGAGTCACAGCTAGTCAACGTGCTGAGAACAAGTGACTGTGGGGAGCTCAGCCCTGCACAGGCATCGATATCACCTTCTCCAGGGCTCAAGGAGCATCTCCTTAGAAATAACCCTGTAAGTACAGTCTTTCAGGGATCATCACATAAGAGGGGTTGAAAGAATGTAAGGACTGGGGGGGCAGGGAGGGGCGGCATGACACGGCTGTTGTACCCATGAGCTCACAGTTGGAGTGTCTATTCTCAGGGGAAACTGTACAACTGAAGACGGGGCCCTCCAACCTACCGTCATGGATGAACGAGAAGCTCATCAAGTCCCACCATTTCCTGAGGAGCAATTAACGGTTGCTGGAGGAGGGGAAGCCATATCTTCAGGAATGTTGCCCATGATAGTGTACCTCCCTCACACAAATAACCCGCAGGCCTGTACTCTGCAGGTGTCTCTAATAAAATGCAGTGGAACACAAAGACACACCAATAATATAAAACTGACTAAATGAATCTGTGTCTACAGTGTATTTCTGCAGACACACATAGTACATATTTATACAGCATATATGTATCTGTACATACACATGGACACTTCATACACACATACATACTTTCTAGAAAACTCTAGAAAGTATTACAATATCTATCACTAAGGAACATATTAAGTAGGTCTTTAGGTTTATGGTTTTTTGTTATGTGGGTTTTTTTTGAAACAGGGTTTCTCTGTGTAACAGCCTTAGCTGTCATGGAACTGGCTTTGTAGACCAGGTTGGCCTCGAACTCAGAGATGCGCCTGCCTCTGCCTCCGGAGCACTGGGGTGAAAGGTGTGCACCACCATGCCCAGCTTAGGTTTGTGTTTTTAACAAATTTTGTACTTGCAATTTCTTTCATTTTATGGATTTTCTTTCTTTTTGGTTTGGTTTTGTTTGGGGTCAAGGGGTTGAGACAATAGTCTCACTATGTAGTCTGGCTGGGGTGGAACTCATTATGTACATCAGGCTGACCTCAAACTCGCAGTTTGCTTCTGCTTCCTGAGTTCTGGGTTTAAAGGTAAGTGTCACTACACCTGGCTCATGGGATCTCTTAAAGTTAGCTGGTTAACAGGACTCTGTGCCCTCTCTGCCTCAACATACTTAGCACTCAGATGTTAGGTTTTCTATACCTGGTTTAACTTTTAAGTTATTGTGAAAAATCAGTGATATTTTCAGACTATATCTGAAGTGGAAAAAACTGAACTGCATAGTATAGGAGGTGGAAGTTGCATGTTTGAAATACAGTTTTATTCTAGGTATACACAAAACTTCTCTTTTATACCACAGTATCCTTTTCATTGTATTAAATTGTTTTTCAGATAAGTCATCAAGCACCTCTCTTAATAGACTTCCCAGGATATTTTCCACATGTACTTTTTATTTTTGGTTACATTAAAAATATGACGCTAGCATCCTGAGCTTGTACAGTAAATACTAGTGTAAAAAAAAAAAAAGCAATGTTACTGGTGAAGTTAACAAACATCTTTCTTGACATACCTGGTCTGGTGGTCTGAATGAGAATGGCCCCCATAAGCTCATATGTTTGAATACTTGGTCACCAGTTGGTGGAACTGTTTAGGAAGGATTAAGAGGTATGGCCTTATTGGAGGAGGTGTGGTCACTAGGGGCAGGCTCTGAGATTTCAAAAGACCATTCCGAGTTCTCTCATTTTTCTCTCTCTCTCTCTCTCTCTCTCTCTCTCTCTCTCTCTCTCTCTCTCTCTCTCTCTCTCTGCCTCATAGTTGTGTCCCAAGATGTGAGCTCTAAGCTACTGCTTCAGCATCATATCTGCCTACCTGCTACCAAGCTCCCCATCATGATAGTCATGGGCTCTTTGCCTCTGAAACAATAAGCCCCAAATAAATGCTTTATTTTATAAGTTGCCTTGGTCATGGTGTTTTATCACAGCAATAGAAAAGTAAGTCATGTAGATCGTAGGAATTTTTGAAGCCTTCATGTTAAACAGACTCTGCAGGAAGTACACACCACTCTCCCAGGCCATCCCATGGTGCCTGGAACATCAGTCTCTGGTGTTCCAGAAAGTTTCAGTTACAAAGGAATAAGAAATTAAAGGCTTAGACATGTCCCTCTAGCAAGGGCACTAGGAAATCACTGAAGAGTGCTGGGTTCTCTCAAAGTTGGTTTAGGAATGGTCAAGATTGGGGTCTCCGACAGGCTCTCCTTCCTTGTTGTTAATGGTAAGTTCTGCTAAGGTCAGCTCCTAATCCCACCAAGGAATTAACTAATTAATGAATTAACATTTAATTAAGCTAAATATGTATCACAAACTTGGGGCAGATGACTTCAACCACGCATGACAAAGTACATCATTGTGTCAGAGTCGGTGGCATCCCTAAATCAACTCATAGAATACCAAAGACTAGCCAGCAATTGACCACATAGTCAAGCATTTTGAGGCCCTACACAGACAGTTCAAAGGCACCTCATAATGTGTAGCTGTATTCACTTAGCCAACACTCTATTTCTCTAGCCCATATGATAAAGAAAGACTCAGCAGTTGGAGTTGATGGTACTAAAGGTTTTTTTTTCTCCTCTCTGAATTGGTTCATTGAATACATCTGAGTATGGCCTCAGGCATAAAAACACTTCTGGCTTCCCAGTTCCTCTCACTACCTAATACCTGAGGAGGTCCCAGCCCTGGTCTAGCATAATGAAGACTTTTATTACATCAGGACTGCTGCTGCTGCTGCTGCTGCTGCTACTGCTGCTCACATCATGGAGGTGTTCTGGGCAAGAGCCAGGTATCAGAGTGGACCTTGACTGGTGATGTTTTCAAGGGGTAATTCCTCAATGACCATGAGTCATGGGGCTCTTGGTTTCGAGGGCTTTATTGTTCCATCTGAAAAGTTAACAACTTAATAATTCCCAGCCCTATATGTTATCTCTACCTGGGTTACCAGAACATTATAGTCCCAGCATACAGGTTGCAAACTTTGTCTTCCCTGTTCCGGTGAGTGAAGGTATTTGGACTCAAGTTGTTACTTTGGCTGAGGTCTCAGAGTTGGATTCCCGCCCCCTCCTCCCACTTCTTCCCACATAGGTACTCTTCAATTTCCTACCAGGTCACCCTTGAGCCATCTGTTCTCCCTCAGCTTGTACCTTATCTGTCTCTTCAGTTTCCTACCCGCACTATTCAACTACACATTCTTAACTAGCTTCCCTTACGTAATCATCTCTCTTAACCTCCCTACATCATTTTTTAGATATTCTGAATAAAACTTTCTTAAACATTCCAGTGTTTCCTGATAGCCAACTCATGACACAAAGACTAGCCTTCAACATCCCATACAGACTGGTTCCAAGCTCCTCTCAGACCCCAGGAGGTCTAACGGTTTCCCAAACAACTAAGGAACCTTGTTTCACCACTGGCATGGCATCACGTTCCCTAAGACAAAGTGGGACAGTACTCATTTAAAATATCTCTTCAGTCCTGCAGACCACCAGAGACTCAGCTGAAAGGAGGCAGAGGTTAACTTAGGAGTTTTTCATACGAACTGTTATAATGTCTCAGAAGGAAAGTTGATTGTGAGTAAGTACAGCTACCAAGAATAATGTGTGTAGTATCTGGAGGACAAAGGGGAACCCCTGGAGGCAGCATAGTTACCAGGGGACCTTAGGAATAGTATCATCATTGCTTACAGGAAGGTGCGCTGTTAGAGAGCAGGAAACACTCCCTATTCCTTGCCTTTAGATAAAACAAAAGGAGAGTTCTCCAAAATACCTACTGCAAACACGACAGTCCAAGGTGATGAACTATGTCCAAGATAAATGAAACATTTTTCAATTGGAAAAAGTATAACTTGAACGTTAAAAGGTTAGACAGGGGAGTGGAGTTTTCTGAGATGGTGGGAAAGGACTGTAAGCAAGAGGATCCTTCTATCAACAAAGGGCAGCTGAGAACAATGAGAGACATGAGACTGGGGGCAATGAGCTCCTCCACGAGGCTGCCGAGGTTGCCCAAGGAAGGGACAGTGATGGAGCCCAGGGTACAGCCATGCAGAAGTAGATGGGAGATCAGTTTTGAAAGCAAAGTGAAAAGACTGCGTGGGAGACTGTGGGAAGGAAGGGAAGTGGGAACTGGGACTAAATCCTAAGGCCTTTGGGCTTCAGTGGTGGGTGGGTGTGGTGCTGTTGACTGCGATGAGGAAACACCAATGGAGGTGAAGGAAAAAACGTGAGTTCCATATAGAACTTGTGCGTGCATGAGGAGGAGTGCTTCAAATAGCCTCTGTATATCTGATGGGTAATTGAAGAGCTGATCCTAAAGCTTGGGAGAAGAATCCAGCAGAGGCCTAATGGAACATTCTGGTCTCCAGGGTAATGCAGCGTAGTGGATCCAAAGAGCATAATGTTCAGTCCCAGCTCTTTATTCCTTCTGGGACCTTGAACGACTCACATCTTCTTTCCATCTGAACTGTATGTCTGCTACTATTTGATACACCGCCATGGCCTGAAAATTAAAACCTGGCGGCCATGGAGATGGCTCAGTCAGTAAAGGGCTTTCCATGCAAGCATGAGGAGCTGAGCTCAGATCTCCAGCACCCAGGGAAAGAGCTGTAATCCCAGTGCTGGGGAGGAAAGAGACAGACAGAGTGCCAGGGTTTGTGCCCAGCTACTCTAGCAGAGTTGGCAGGCTCCAGGTTCAGTGGGAAAACCTGTCTCAAAAAATAAGGGGGGTGGGGGAGCAACTGAGAAAGATACAACATCTACTGATGGCCTTCATGTGTACATATACCAGCATGCAAGTATACCCACAGAGAGGGAGAGGGAGAGGGAGAGGGAGAGGGAGAGGGAGAGGGAGAGGGAGAGGGAGAGGGAGAGGGAGAGGGAGAGGGAGAGGGAGAGGGAGAGGGAGAGGGAGAGGGAGAGGGAGAGGGAGAGGGAGAGGGAGAGGGAGAGGGAGAGGGAGAGGGAGAGGGAGAGGGAGAGAAAACTTAAGTTTCACAGAGACACGAAGGATTAGGGAACTTGGTACCCAATATAGCACCTTGATAAAAGTGCATACCTCTGCTTCCATTCCAAATCACCACCACAGTTAATCTCAGGCAGAACTTCGGGGGGGTTGCAAGTTGATTCATTTGAGGGATGTCAATGGGAAGAAAATAGAAGTGGAGTCATATTATGAAAGGAATCATCTTTGCCCACATCCCTAACCTCTATTTGTTTTGGTTAACTTGGGTCTTCTTTCATGCCAATGTATTGAGGAGGAGCAGCTGACTGCCTTTTCTTCTCTTTCAACAGTATCAGTGGAATGCTCTTATCTTCAGCTCCGTGTTATAGCTAAAAGGACACTGTTTTATCCAGATGAACGTGTAGGCCCTGATGAACTGTTCCTAGGGACAGGCTGTGTGGTGATTCGTGTGCGACCAGATGAACTTGAGTTTAATTATCCTATCAATCTCTGTGGGATTGTTACACAGGTAAGAGAAGGAACCGTTTTACCTGGTGCCATCTGAAAAGTCTTTTCAAGTGTTGTTTCCTGTTCTTGTCTTAATACCTATGTAACATTGGTATTGCCAACCTAGTGCCTTAGCCTAAAAGAAACACAAGGAATGATTTTGTCATTTCTACTCATTCACCAGAGTTACAATGTATAAAATACTTGGCATTAATAAGAAAACTATAGACTTTTCTATCAAAATTAATTTTCTATTAACATGGCACACGTATTATTTTCACGTGGCATTTTATACACCTAATCCGACACGATCAATTCTGCTTCTACTTATATAGAGTGAGGAATTGAGGCATAAAAGCCAGCCATGTAACCAGACATTTGAAGTTCATATATAGCAGAGCAAGGGTCAGAGACAAGGCTTGCGGATGCCAAGTCTAAGCCTGTTGCTTTAGTTCTATGATGACTCTGGGATGAGCACTGAAATGAACAACAATAATAATAATAATAAAACCACACAAGATATCCCTAGTGAAGTATCCTATTGTAATTGCCTTACAGATCTGTCTCCATCACTAAACTTATTCCTGGAGGTAACCTGTGCTCCTCTTTCTTAGTGGTGCTCAGGGCCCAGGCCATGAGTAAACACAGAGGTGTAGTCTTTTGATTAAAACTTTCCCCCAGGAAGTTAAGAGGCAAGAATGATCTGGAGTGGTACTGAACTAGAAGTAGACTTAATTTGTTCATGTCTAATTAATACATATGTATGTGTTATATGTGTGTGTGTATGTTCATATATATCATTGAAACCAATAGTACTTCAGCATCTACAAGAAAACCTGAAAGTATACTTTGGTGTAAGAAGTTTCTAACACATCCAAGGTAAATACAAAACATTCCATTTATCTTATCTTAATTTGCATTACTGTAGTCATTGACATAAGCATGTTCTTCTAGAAACCTAAACTTCATGTCATGGACATGGAATAACTTAAACAGATTGACATGAAGATCCTTCAATCTTCTCTGCCTTGTAGTATCATGCAATGATTGTCTATCTCAGTCTATTTCTCAAGCCTGTGCCTACCCAAAGCAAGATGCCAGACACTCAGATTTGTTCCCATACACCCATCCAAAGAAATCCAAAGGCATTTTGGGATTTTTAGCAGGTAAAAGCAAGTGTCAAATATAGAGCCCTTCACAGAAGTCTAAAACCATAGTTATCAAGTGGGGAAGATCCTTCTAACAGGGAACATTGGGCAATTTGAGGAGACAATGTTAATGACTCCATCCAGAGAGAAGGGTACAACTGACATCTGGTGAAGAGGAGCAGGTGTTTAGCACATGCAGGCACAGGCACCTCCACACATAACAGAGAGATACCTAATCTAAAGTGCAAGTGTCACAGCTGAGAAATGCTGGTCAGAACATCCCTACACCTATCTTCTCTCCTTACCCTTTGCTCTGGGCAGATCCTCTACCATTGATGCGTCCTAAAGTCTGCCAATCATCATAAGACCATTTCATGGTTTTAATAGTATCTCTCTGTCTGACTTCTGGATTTGAAAACTGAATAAAATAAATCTTTCAGACCTTGGGAACCACATGAATCATCAATCCTACTATTTACTTAACGAGTTACTGACTTTGGGACCTCTCTATTAACTTGGATAATACATCATATCTAGTATGATCCCAAATGCATAAATAATAGAGGATCAAATTTTATAGAACTTGAAGCCAGTATGGTAAAACCATAGGATTTGTAACTTATTTATGAAATATAAATGCATTTCATGCTCAGGAAATCTAATTGGTCAGTACAAATACATCTTGTTCTAGTTAACATTCTTCCTTCTGGTGAGCTTTTAGAAACTTGGAAATCCAAAGTAAAAGCCAAATACTGAGATTGAAGTCAGAAGTATCAGAAAGAGTATCTCAGACTCCTTCAAATAGTTTCTTCATCTTTTAAATCCTCATAGAGCAAGTTTCCATCTAAGTAAGAAAGAAATATTTGCTGGGCGGTGGTGGCACATGTCTTTAATCCCAGCACTCAGGAGGCAGAGCCAGGTGGATCTCTGTGAGCTTGAGGCCAGCCTGGTCTACAGAGTGAAATCCAGAACAGGCACCAAAACTACACAGAGAAACCCTGTCTTGGAAAAAAAAAAAGAAAAAAAGAAAGAAAGAAATTGTTTGTCAAGTGTGTTGCATTATTTTCTATTTGTTGAGTGCTTCTGTATTGCAGAGAGAACTTTAAGCACATTAATTCAGCTGCATAATTCAGCTGCATATCTTTATTTCTTGGGATGATAGAGTGGCAAATGATTTATCTTTCAATTTCTCATTTGAATATATTAAAATGTGTTGTGACAAACCATATGTATACTTCAAAGATCTCTCATCTCAACAGATAGTAGCTGATGGAACTATCTTTTATACCTGGCTCACCTATAAACCCAAGAAGTCATATTTTTCTGCTGAGCTTCAGTTGCAGTGTGTGGTTCCCAGGTCAGTACAAAACACACATTGGCTCCTTGATTAAATTCCAACAGCTCTTGGCTAGAATGTACCATTGCTTGTCCACAAACTTTGAAATTCATGACTTCTTATGTAGCTGTGTGTCTACAGCATGTCAATCCATCTTAACCTCTAGTGCAGTCCCTACCAGAGGCCAAAATTTAGGCCAAAAAAGTGACACCAGTTACAAAGCCATAAATGGGTCTTGGCTGTTCATCCTATCTACTCTCCAAGAGGAAAGACATCTTGCCAAGCCAAATGCATCACACCAATACTGGCACACAATACCTATGGAAATTTCTAAAGTACACAGATTGGCTTTGACCTTCTGAACAATCCAAAAGACCCTAACTGGGTCTAATGGCAGTCATGTAAAACCAGCTTATATAATTTATAATCAAATAAAATCCTCAGGAGGCTGAGGAAGACAGACTGTAAGTTCAAGACCTGCCTAACACTACTCAGTGAGTTCAAGGCCAGCCATAAAAACTAGGTGAGACCATCTCAATACAAAAAGAGGGCTGAGGATAGAGCTCAGTGGTAGAGTACTTACCTAGCAATCAAAAGGCTTTGAGATGAATCCCCAGTACTGCAAGACAGGGGTGGAAGGAGGGAGGGAGGGACAGAGGGAGAGAGAGAGAGAAAGGAGATTGAAACTTTAGGTTATTAGAAGATTAGAGTTCAGAAAGTGGAATGAAAAATTAATTCTGCCTTCTAAGTTTGGAAACAATCAGTAGCAAATGACATAGAAGATGAAGCTTTAAAAACAAAAACAGACAACTGGGTTAAACAGTAAGTTTATAATTCCAGAAGTAATTTGGAATTTAATAAGACAAAAAAGATCAGAAAGTTTGATAAACATAGATTGTGTATGGTATCATCATTTTGGTAAGAATATGACTCTGCCCTTGCTAATGACAATAACCACTGAGCTCTGATGTGTGCCACTCACAGCATTTGTGAGCCTGGGGCACCTGAATCCTCACCATCAACTCTGTGTGTACAGCATGAATATCATGCCAATTTAGTGACAGAAAATTAGATACAGACACATGAAATGATCTTCCAGATTCATATAGTCAGAAAGTCCCAGATTAAAATTTGGCAAAATGATCTGAAAACATTGTTTTCTTAACTATGCTTTAGTGCACTGTGCTGGTTAGTGAGTTTGTGGAACTCATGTTCCAAGATGACTCACTGACATATTCTGAAATGATAGCAGTTAGGGGCTGGAGAGATGGCTCAGTGGCTAAGAACACTGACTGCTCTTCCAGAGGACCTGAATTTGGTTCTTAACACCCACATCTATCAGTTCACAACAAATCCTTAGCTCCAGCTCCAGGAGGATCTGTCACCCTCTTACGGACTCTATGAGTAGTGTACTCATGTACACACATACACACACACACACACACACACACACACACACACACACACACACACACATATATATAAAATGTATGTATGTATATAATTTTTAATCAAATAAAATCCTTAAATAAAAGTAATCAGACTTCATTAGCTCCTGGAAACCTGTTAGTTCAACTTGGAGAGATTTTAGGAACATCTTCCCTTCAGGCAATTACTCAAACACAGAATTGTCTGAAAGAGATTTTTTCTTAACTGAGAATAATTTCTGTATCCATAGACTTAGTAGCCCTAAATGGAGGATTTTAAGCAGGTCTGAGGTTGTTGAACAAGAATAATGCAGCCATCTTAAAGCTATAAAAAGCTATAGCTTTTTAGTAGACTGTGAAATCTATTAGGTTTTGACATCAAGGCTGCCGATTCAATAAACTGTTGTGTTGAGGCTGGAACTAAACCCTAGGGATTGTGACCTTTGGACCTCTGCACTGCTTTCTAATCCCTGTTTTTATTGTTTTGTTTTTCCTTTGGAAGCTCTTGTGCCATGAAAAGCCAAGAAATGCTCCTTCCTGCTGCTCAATACTGGTTCCAGTTACAACTGAGATACTGCAATTTTTGTGGCTATGCCCACTTACTAGATAACTGGGTAAGGACTCCTACAAGGGTCAAAACTTAATATGCAAACATTCACAGTTTATGGTCAAAGCAAAAGTTATCCATTACATTGAGTATTTGTCTGGGGAAAGACCCTATACTTCTCTCAACCATGTACTTGGTAGAAATGAGTCATACATAGTCACTGTACAAATTGATGAAAGGTTACAGTAAGGTTCCAGTCTTACATCCTCTCCTCATCCTTGGGTGTCTCTCCTTGACAGTAATATTTTACCTTACAGTATTTGGAACTGAACATCTGAATCCAAAATCAATGTCTATAATGGGAGGAGGGATAGAAAAGTTCTGAACTTACCAATTTGGAACATTCTCTTCATGTCTTTTCATAAAAAGACCAAATGTCTTAAGCTGAAGGTGGATCTGAAAAAAAAAAAACATATGAGCAAAACATTTATAATTTACCACTGTGTTGTTGTCAAGTATATTCAAGGTCCCTTTGAGAGCTGTTTCCCTTTTCTGTAAGTCTTTAGAAAACTAGGTCTATGTGGCTTCCACTCATAAAAGATGGATTGATTATGTACCATACTGCTCCTATTTTAGAGCCCTAAAGTTTAAAGCCCTGGCTCCAGCACAGAGAGTGCTCAACTTCAAAAATATTCTGGAGCCTTGAGGGTCATGAGGCCCCACCCCTCCCAGAGGAACTATTTGCAGTTAATGATGGAGAGTCATTGTCTCCTGTGGTGAAGTTACTGGTGGGTTGCCCATGCTTCAGTAAATATCCCCTACCTGTGTTCATGCAGGTGCACTAAACCGAACTAAACCTCTCTCTCTCTCTCTCTCTCTCTCTCTCTCTGTGTGTGTGTGTGTGTGTGTGTGTGTGTGTGTGTGTCTGTCTGTCTGTCTGTCTGTCTGTCTGTCTGACACAGATAGAGACAGACAGAGAGAGACAGAGACAGAGACAGAGACAGAGAGAGAAACATACAACATTCTAATAATTTTTTTTCAGAGACATGCAAATAGCAGGGAGACTCGTGCAGAAAAGGGCATGGTTCCATAGGACTAAAAAGGGATGAGAGAGATTAATGAGTAAAAAGAACAAAATACATTATGTAAATGCATACATTTGTCAAAGAATAATATTTTTATTAAAAGTAGTTTTTTTCACATAGTATATCCTGATATGTTTTCCCCTCCCTCTACTCCTCCCAGTTCCTCCCCACCACCCCTCACACCTGGATCCACCATCTGTCTATCTCCCATTAGAAAACAAAAAGGCTTCTAAAGAATAATAAAATAAAATAAAAACAAACACATCAGCATAGGACAAAACAAACTGAAGGAAAAGAGCCCAAGAAAAGGCACAAAAAACAGATATAGAAATCAACTAATTGACACACTCAGGAATCCCATAAGAACATAAAACTGGAAGCCATGATATATACTCAAAGGGCCTGTAGGACAAAGATGAGGGGAATAAAAATTAAAAAATAAAAAGGATAAAATTTTAAAAAGAAAGAGAGCGCCCTGACACAACATTATATGTCAGGAACCTTCAAGGATGCAGTTGAGTTCATTTTCCGTTGCCTATCTACTTCTGGGCATGCAGCCTACCCTTAGGAATAATTTGTTTCCCCAGCCAGACTCCATTGGAGAAAACTAAATTTTCATTTCCAAGTGGTTATTGGTTGGAGTTAGCTTCTATGTTAAGGATAGGGACATGTGTCCAATTCTTTTCAAATCTAAGACCCCATCAAGTGTAGACTAATAGGGGCCCTGTGAATGCTGCCTTAGTCTCTATGAATTCATATGTATGCCAATCTTGTGTTTAAAGAGCTTTGTTTCCTTGGTGTCCTGCATCCCCTCTGGTTCTTATATTCTTTGCGCCTCCTGTTCCTCTGGGCTCTCTGAGCCCTGAAGGGAGGGATTAAATGACGACATTTCCTTTAGGATCAGTGTCCCCTCTGCATACTGTCTGTGCGTCTCTGTATTTGTTCCCATCTGATGCAGGGAGAAGCTTCTCTCCTAATGGCTGAGCAAGGCACTGATCTATGGGTATGGCAGAATGTTACTAGGAGTCATTTATTGCTAGATTCCTTTAGCAGAACAGTAGTATTTGACTTAACCCTTGGTCCATGGGCTATCTACTCTCAGGTTTTTTGGTCACTAAAGCAGCAGTGGGTATGGGTTCAATCTGTAGGAGGAGGCCTTAAGTAAAATCAGATATTGGCAGATTACTCCCACAAGCTTTGTGCCAACATTGCACTAGCATATCTTGCAGACAGGATACAATTGTAGATAGGTTGGTGTTTATGTTTCTTCTTTTGTAGTGTGCAGGCTACCTTCCAAGACCAAGGACACTATCCCATAAGGGTGAAGGCTCTAGGTAGGCACCAGCTTAACTTCTCTGTGTTCAGTGAGTTGCAGAAGTATTGTCTTCAGCAATAGGGCAGTGATATCAGTGTGTGGAGAATAACCAATAGCCTTGGGAACAACCTAGATTGTTGGGAGTTCCCATGAGGCCCTTTTGTCCAACAACTCAATTAGCTGTAACCCATTCCCAGTACTGGAAGCTTCATTTGGTGCAAGAGATGTCCATTTAGGGCTCCGTCTCCCCTGTCATTTGGTGATCTCATTTAGATCACCTTCACATATGCACATATTTTAGGAAGCTTCTACTGTATGGCCCTTAATTTTAGCTGTCTCTTCCTGTGTTCCCTCTCTCATCCTGCTCCTCACTTGATCCTCCCATTCCAGTCGCTCATCCTTGTCCATCATATCTATTCTATTTCCCTTTCCTAAGGAGATCTCTTTGCTCCTCTAGTCCCTTACTTTATACCTATCCTCTACAGTGGATTCTATAGATTTGTAGTTTGTTTACAATTGAATTAACAGCTGGTATCCACATACAAGCAAATACATAGTACCTCACTCAGGATGATATGATTTTTTTTTCTAGTTCCATTCACTGACCTGTGAATTTCATGATTTCATTTTTCAATGGCTGAGTAATGTTCCACTGTGCAAATGTATCATGTTTTCTTTATCCATTCTTCTGTTGAGGGACATCTTGGTTATTTCCAATGTCTGGCTATTGTGAATACAGCAGCAATGATACATAGCTGAACAAGTGACTCTGTGGTAAGATGAAGCATCCTTTGGTATAGCTGGATCTTGAGGTAGATCTACTCTCCTCTTCTGAGGAACCACCACACTGATTTCCATAGTGGCCATATCAGTTTGCACTCCCAACAACAGTGGATGAGTGTTCCCCTTACTCCACATTCTCACTAGCATGAACTGTTGCTTGTTTTATTGATCTTAGCCATTCTGAAAGGTGTAAGATGGAATCTCAAACTAGATTTTATTGCATTTCCCTGATGGTTAAGGATGTTGAACATTTCTTTAAGAAATTCTCAGCCATTTGAGTTTCCTCACTTGAGAATTCTGTTTAGAACAGTACCCCATTTTTAATTGGATTTATTAGTTTTCTTCATATCTACTTTCTGGAGTTCTTTATATATTTTGGATATTAGTCCTCCATCAGATGTATAGTTTATAGCCATTCTGTAGGCTGCCACTTTGTCAGAATGACAGTACCCTTTACCATGCAGAAGTGCCTCAGTTTCATGAGGTCCCATTGATTAATTGTTGATCTTAGTGCCTGTGCTAATAGTGTTCTGTTCAGAAAGTTTTCTTGTGTCTGTGAGATCAAAGCTCTTACCCATGTTCTCTTCTGTCAGGTTCAGTGTATCTGGTTTTATGTTGAGGTCTTTGATCTATTTGGAGTTGTTTTGTGCAGAATGATAAGCACGAATCTATTTGCATTCTTCTACATCCAGACATCCAGTTTGACCAGCACCATTTGTTTAAAATGTTGTATTTTTTCCAGTGTGTATTTCTGGCTTCTTTATCTGGGAAGAGTTGTATTGGAATTTTGATAGAAATTGCAGATTACATTAAATCTGTAGATTGCTTCTGGTAAAATGGCCATTTTTACCATTGAAAACTTCAGCTCAAAGCAGTTAGCCACACCCAAGAAACAACAAGGAATAAATAATCCCAGAGCAGAAAAAAAACCAAAACACATAGCACAACAACAAAATAATAGGAATCAACAACAAGCACCGCTCATTGATAACTCTTAACATCAATGGTCTCAGTGCCCCATCTGTGGTGACTGTGTGTTGCTTGGCAGGGAATTCTAGGATCCTGCTAGGTACAGCCATTGGGTGTTCCAAAAAGAATGCATTTCTAAGTACTGGGAGCTGACACTTAGAATGGGAATGGGAAGAGGCAGAGGGCTGAGGGTGTCCACAGGAGGAATGACAGCAGAGTACTCCACTAGTGTCTGCTTACTTCCCCTGGAAATGGTGGTAGAGAGTGAGGAGAGGCCACAGCAGGTAGTCTGCTACCAGGCTGAGGATGAGACTAGGGAATTGGACTTGGAGGAGAGGAGGGAGAGTAAAGATCTCTAGCTCACCTACCTGCTTAGCTGACCTATTTGCTTATCTGGCAAGCTTGGCTGATGGATTTCCAGGGAATGCCTGATGGTGTTGAGGGCTAGGATAATGGGATGAGTGGGGAGAAAGGCTGGAGGAGATCTGTGTGAATCACTGGAGATGGGGGCAGGGAGGGAGGAGAAGCCACAACAATAGGTTTGCTGCAGAGGTAGGGGGGAGACTGGGAGACTGGATTTGGAGGAGAGAAGGGAGATGTGAAGAAGATCTGCTGTTAGCCTACCTCCATTTGAATTTTTATTTTTATATATTTTGTTTTTTATTATTTTAAACAATTTTTAAATGTAAATATATTTTGATCATGTTTTCCCCCTCCCCCAAGTCTTTGGTCACAATCACCAACATATAAATTTGTTGTGTAAAGAATTTTTAGAGCTGGCGGTGGTGGTGCACGGCTTTAATCCCAGCACTCAGGAGACAGAGCCAGGCAGATCTTTATGAGTTTGAGGTCAGCCTGGTCTACAGAGCGAGATCCAGGAAAGGTGCAAAGCTACACAGAGAAACCCTGTCTCAAAAAACCAAAAAAAAAAAAAATTTTAGAACAGTGATTGAGATATATTGAGGAATCAATATTGCTATTACTGTTACTCTATTAAAAAATAAAATAAGATAAAAATGGCCCAATAATGAAAGAAATATTCTTGAGCCTTGGTATCTCAAAATAGTAAATATCAGTTGCTGAACTTTTTTTTTTCCACAGTCAACACCCTTTTATGGGATGAGGAATTATTCTCTTCAAAGACCTATTCATCCATCCTTTCACAGTTGACTCACCATGGCAACATAAAGTTTAAGAATATGACATGGCTTTTGATATTTATATACTTGCATGTTTTAATTTTATTTTAATATATGATAACCCTTTGTGATACCTTTGAAAATAATCTATCAGTGTTTTTAAGC